AAAGCGCACGTTTGCCATTGATGTGCCGTATGTGACCGAGGGTCCTCCTCAGCCAGTCTTGGTTGGAAAGACTCCACGAGGCAAGCCCATCTATTTGACTCAGGATGTGCCCAACGTCACCACATGGGGTGCAGCATCATTCAGTTTGGTAAGTTTATGGCCAAGCGTAGTGAGCAGAGCTTGTCCTATGCCGAGCTGTTTGAGGATCGCACCAACGTTGAAAAGTGTGGCTATGTGAAGTGGGTCATTGATTCTGCCAAGGGGTTGCTGCTGGACTTAGCCTCATATTTGTGTGCCCGCTCAGCCGAAGAGGCTGAAGGAGAGCAGTTGCCGTTCATTCCCGGCACCAGCACCCTGCGAGTGTTCAAATAGAAGACCAGCAATGTTTTGGATCAGTTGGCATGTACAGAAACTCCTCGTGGCTTATAAGGAGATGGCAGTCTCCCAGCCTTGTCAGTTTTTACTTTTGGGTGTGTTAATGCCACAGCATCCAGCAGGGTATCAGCATTGCAGTGTTCGTGGCCATATGGCCCAGTCATATCCAGGAACCTTTAGCAGAGTCGCGGTCGCTATGGTGTGACAAAGTGTCCGTTTGTGGGACCAGGAGGTCGTTGCAAGGTTCAGGAGAACCCCATAGGTTTGCTGCCAACAACACATATCAACCCGGCCATTCACACGACAGTGATATGAGGTCAAATTGACACTCACCCTGTTCCACGGGTGACATGTGGCTATCCAGGAAAAATGCTGTCCTTTCAAATCAGGCTGCTGAACTAATCAGCTTAGGGTCCTATCGGTTTGGCTGTGCTTGTTTCTGGACTCTGTACAAATTGTCCTTCAGCACTCGCAGCATGAAATCTGGCTTCATCTACTTCGTAAGGCAGTCGGAGATCATAGTGGCAGTTGAGATCCACCAGACAATCTCCTCCATTCTGCATTGAAGTCCGTGTCTTCTGACCGTCACGACACAAATTGCCATGAATGGCGGTCAGCTCAATGTCAAGCCGCTTGTCTTGCACGCGGGTCGGAATCTCGGCAGCCAAGTGATCTGCAAGACTTCGACAATCTGTGAAAGCAAGATGTGGCATGCACATCCTTGAATCCTCTTCCCACTTCTGTCGTCTCGGAATCTGGCCCTTCAACTCGGCGATCACTCCTCTACGTTTGTCACCAACTTCAAGACCATGTTGCAGAGAATAGATCTCCCCTTGCAATGTCGATCGACACACTTGGCGGATCGTTGCTGAGCCGAACGCGAGTGTAGAACCCGATACACTGTTCTTCGGATCTTTTGCTTCATTGATGTCGGTCACACAATGAAACCTTCCTTGCTGCGATCTATAGTTGCGTTCTTCACACGGCTTTGTAAACGCGACACTCTGTATCCGAGACCAGTTCTTCCCTGTCTCGCAATCCAAGACAAAGATCCTGTGATCGAGCGAAGTGTGGCGAGCTCCCCCTGGGAAAGAGGGTCTATACCACGACGCGCTGCGTCTATCGTTGCTCCTCTCACGCTTCTCGTGTTGTCACGCACATCAACTGTAATTGCCCCATCGGGATCACGAGCAAATTGCTTTCCACAATATCTGAAGTTGTCTGTTTCGATTGATCCAAGGTCGAATTACGACAAGAATTTCTTCACTGTTCCCCCCCCTTCGGGTAGGTATGCGTAGAGCAAATCATCCACATGCGAAGCCATAAGCGCAACGCAATCTCCATCTGAACCAAAAAGATAGTACAACGCTGGGTAAATGTTACTAATTAACATTGAAGCCTGTACCACAATGTCATCATCCAGTTGCAGGCTTCGGTGTCAACGCCTTCCAGCCTGCCCCTGGGCTGAGCCATGAGCAAGATTCGATCCAATGGCCGAGCCTGAAAGTATGCATTCGTAACATCAGCGGAATGCAGACTTATGGCAATCAACAAGTGAAGGTCGATGTCCGCCGTCGGCGAATCGCTGCGCAGTCCCTTGGTGGTTTCAGAATTTCCCCATGACACAAGCCTGCTCTTCCAGACTGGAGCATAGTCAGGTGAGCCTTTCTTGTGTTTGGCTTTCTCGGTGTCTACCCACTTGCTGGGCACCATGTGTCCCTCCTCCGGTTATCGGGATCGCTGCTGCAACCTGTACAAACTTGTTCCACTCCTTGGCACGCGAAGCGCGCAAGCCTTCTTGCACATCAGGCGGAGCAGAATCGAAATAGATGACTTTCAGCACCTTCTTGCCGGGTGCTTCATCAACTCCTTCAACCCGTTGGGGAAGAAAGTTGTGAACATAGCTCTTGCGTCTACATGATCTTCAGGTTGCATTGCTTGTGCACGAGCGAAGTGATCACGAAGTTGTTGAGGCAAATCATCAAGATTTCGATGAATGCTGGGCCAAGAACGCGGCACAGTCGCGCTCGATGCAGGTGCACTTGCCGATGCTGGTGCGCTTGCTGCTTCAGATTCTTTGCGTGAAGGCATCAACGATGTCCCTCTCTCGGGCTCCGGCTGTGGCACTTCCCTTCTTGGTCTGACATTTCTGTCAGGAGCATCCACTGTGAATGTCCTCCTTCTGCTCGGAATCGAGTCGGGAAGAAGTTCATCATCTGATCCACCTTCATCACCATCAGTGTCATCTCCATCAAAGATACTGGGTTGAACGCCCCAAACAGGGCCATGGCGCTCTTCGACAAGTCTCTTCATCATCTTCAGGAACTGGTGGTAGATCTTCATTCCGAATTGGCAAAGCATCATCCAAAGGTGACGGGACCATATCGTCCTCGCTCGCTGCTGCAACTCTTCTTGCATCCAAGAAAGATTGTTGTCCATCATCACTAACAATATTTCCTGGGATAACTGGATCACCATTGAGAACTGCCTGAGCCAAAGCTCCCGATGGACTCCCAATCCTCACATTCTGTGAAGCCACCAGTACTGGAACATTGCCACATAGCAACCACAAGTTCTTCGGCCCTTCGTGGCCAATCACTCTCGAGGTAGATGACCACGAGGTACCTCCTGTTTGATTGTCACGTCGCAAAGTGACCAAATCACCAATGGGAGATTCCCTTGGAAAAGCACGCTGCACAGGCCTTGAACAATCAAGATGCACATAAGCCTTTTGAGCTTCAAACCTCGCCATGTGTTGTAAAGCAAAAATACTTGAAGGCATGTCGAGCCTCGATTGCACCAAGCTCTGCAAACTGTTCCTCCGACATGACTGAAGCCATTCCTCTAGGTGCTCTACCAAGTACCCATTGAGCTGCTGAATCCTCCAACTCTGCTGCTGCCGTTCTTCACCATCAGAACCTGGTTTAGACACTGCTCAACCTGTTCTCTGCCAATAGCACCAACTTCTGATGCAACACGAGGATACATAGCCTTGAGCACGCCACCATGCCGCTCTGTTCTCCCAAGAGACTCTGGGCTTTCCAACGGAACATGATACACTTGTATGCCGTGTTCATCCATGTATATGAAACACACCTCTGTTATGCAACCCTCTGTCGCACACTATGGAAACTGGTACACCAGCCCAGGCTACCCATCGCGGAACGAAGCTATTCGGGCAATCACGGCTTGAAGCCTGGCCTGCACCGATCTTGACCACTTCGGCCTGTTCAAATCAAGTACCCAAACACACCATGTTGAGCACCTGATACTTCTCACCACATGTGTCGGTGATTTCCAATAAATCCAAACCAACAGAGTTGCTGAACGTGTACCCATGAGGCAAAGACACTTTGTGTGTAGGGCGCTTGGGCGCTGTGCGTTCACAAGCATCACAATGATGGAGCCGTGCGGCTTCCACAAACTCCTTCTTGATCTTTGCTGCTCTCAAGAGGTTCACCATTGTGGCCTTGGGAACATGTCCAAAAGCACGGTGCAAACGACGAACTGCAATACGAACACGCTGTGGGAGTTTGCGCAAGCACAGCGTCCCTCCGTCTCATCCTGTGGCAATGCAGGCACATCAACTTCATCCAACAATCTCTCTTCTGCAATCAAACCTCAACAGGATTGGACTGTGCCAAATCATCAGGACTCCAGGCTACATCAAATGTGCCTTCCTGATCTTCTGCCTATTCTTGCACTGCGGCAGGAAATGCAAACTCATACTATCAACAACAGACCCATCACCAAAAGAGAAGAAAAGTCACCAAACGCTGAAATCAAATCATCATTGTTGCAAACATGTGCCAAACCGAGTTCATTGATGTAAAGCACTTGTGGGGTTCGATAATCTTCCCATCTTCGGGTCTGTGCATCGTCCGCCATGAGAAAACTACACGCTGTGGCATCACAAAAGGTTTCCAATTCAAACAACATGCGAGCATGGTTCAAACGAGTTTCAGGGGTTCTTTGCTCGATTGCAACTACTACCAACTTACAACCATCAAAGATCTGTTGCCAGTCCACCCCATCAGATACGCCATCCAAGTTCTCTGCATCCACCCCAACGTCGTAGACTCGTAGACGTTCTCAAACGAGTCCTGGAAAAATGGATGTGAAGTCACAACGGCAACGTGGGAAAGACTGGGAAGCTGCAATGGTCTCATCCCCAAATACTTGACTGCATTGTGGAGTCATGTTGATTCAATGCATCAAGACCATCCAAAACTGTCCTGCGGTGTTTCCGAGACATGGTTGTCCTCTCATCTGGATGGACTGTAGGTGAGTCAACTTCAACCACAACATCTGAATCTGAACCAATCTCAAATGCCATCATTGCAACAGGAGGTGAATCATCGGATGCTGTCTCACAGGTGTACGAATAGTCAGTTTCATCATAGTCAGCTTGTTCTTGTTTGACAAGTTGTTCAAGTTTGATGGGAACAGGCTCAACCTTGACCACAACTGGATCTTTGACAATTTTCTGACCATGGGGGGACAAATCAACATGGGGTTTTTGCTTTAGATTTCACTGCAAACATCTTCTTGGGGTCCAAAGATTTTTCAAATAGCATCACGAACATCCCTGCATTTCGGGGTCCACCGCCCCACAGCTGCAGCACTCATGTACGCGCAACGGCCCTTGCCGTGACATCCGCACGTGACTCCTGACGTAGCAAGCCATCCTGACATCAATGGATCTGTAATCCAAAACTGACGATCGTGGTTGCCCTCGCGAAGACAAACATCAACAACTCTATTCAAAGCATCTGGTTCCACCAGATCCGGTCGAGCCATGATACTGACCTCCTTGAGCAAGGTTGTCTCTAACCAAGTCCTCCTGCAGGTGTGGCTCGATGCCGTCGGTGTAGAGGAGGAGGCTCTGAAGGCTCGTGCGGTGTCAAGTGGACATTCGGGGTCTCTTTCAGAGTCGCCCCTGTCCCCACGCCAACTCGACGAAGCATGTCCCCGTGCAAGGCTGCTTGATGAACTCCTCGGCCTCGGTGGTGGTGGCTTCACTGACAAGCGCCTCACAGAGTAGCTTTCCACTGCAGGGCTTCGATGGCGAACTTCCCTTGTGGGACTTCTGCGACGCCCTCTGCGATCACATGGCACTGAAGGTGGCCGAGGTGGCGTCAAGCATCCCTTCGGCTTTCTTGCAAGTGGGCTCCTTGAACGCCTTGTTGATCAAGATCTGTGCATAGTGGTCCTTGAAGCAACCATCTCATCAAGTAGATCTTCCAACCTGTCTTAGATCACATGCATTGTCTTCTCCATGTCTGCCAAGTGTTTGGGACTGAAGGGAAGACCATCAACCATTGAAACATGCTCTTCTTGGTCCTCTCCTGCTCCACCCTCTCGGACATCACGGCCTGGACGCACTGGCATCGCCTTGGGGCAGGTAGGCGCCAGAATTGAGCCACGATGAACTGGAGAAAGAATGGACTCAATTCCTTTCAAACACTTCTGATGGTCTCCGCAAGCTGTGCAAGTTCCACCACACTTCATTGTAGTCCACTCCGGGGACTCATAGCGAATCAAGGTGGCAGAATGCCCCTTACGCCGCAACTGATATGAATTGAAGCCAGCGCAGCTCGAATGCTGTTCAGCACATTGATGAACCGGGCACCTTCACCAAGGTTCTAGAGATACCTGTTGTGCAGCCAAGGTGAATGGTCTGAGTTGCGTCCCTAGCTGGATCTTGAAGATGCTCAAGGTCCAAAACAACGTGCTTCCTTCCACCTGGGTCCAATAACCGTGCCCCAAAGCGTTTCCCCCTTGTCACCAGGACGACGCCCACATCGGAGTCAATCGCCCGTTTCAACTCCTGTTGAGTGACTCAACGGACGGTCGGTGTTGTCACGATGGTGACGGTTGCGTCATCCACAGCGACCATGGCACGGAGAGGCCGATATGCTTTGGGGATGTCGGCAGGGACACGCGGGGTCAGAATGCATTAGCCCCTCTGTCAAGTTCAACATGAGCAGACCTTTTTTGTGACACCTGTAGACCTTGAGCTGCCCACCATTGATCGACATGACACCATTCTTCGGGTCCTTAACTAGGCCTAGCTTTGTCTGAGCATGTAATGGCAATAGAAGGGGGCTCTGACCTGCTGTCAATTGATGCGAATCCAAACATCATTCAAAGATTCCGTCTTGAGCACCTAAGAAAACGGAATTGAACGCACCCCTTTGGTCTTGGTGCTACCACTGCCCAGACCAGCAAAGCTCTTCCCCCCATCATCCTTCAATGGCATAGTGTAACCAAATCGGGCTAGCTTCTTTTCTGCTTCAGCTGCCCATGCACTGCTATGACATGTGCTGTTACAACCTTCATCCAACAAAGCAAACACATGGGGAGACTTCTCAATGTCGATTGATTCGAAATTCATAGACAAGGTCTGAAGGAAAATGGCTCTCACCGCCATGGAGGCATACCCCAACGTAACCCGCAGCTGGACGAATTTCAGGGTCCAATTGGCCCTCTTCACCAACAACAGAGAAACGGTCCTCGTCCAAAATGTCGTCGATCGATTGATGCAGAAGAGATCGTGTGATGGCCTCAGATTCAGCAGCGGATGAAACAAGTTGTGCAAACTGGGGTAAAAAAAATCGTCCAACTGACCAGGAGTGAGAATCTGGGATTCCTCATCAACAATGCTTTCAATGACAGACACCTTGTTCACCTGAACAGTCTCGACCTTCTTGGCTGTGGTTGTACGTTCCTTGAACACTTGCATGGGGGCCGCATCATTGTAAGTGCAACACTGTTTGCAGTACACACGATGCGTGGTCCTACTGGATCCCCGGTAGTCAACAACCTCATGTGGACACTCACCATCTGGATAAGTTGGCTCTTCCTGTCTACGCTCTGTTGTCGCATGACCACAATCAAAACATGTCTTGCGAATAGTGTATCCAGTTTACCCTTGTTTTGTGAAGTCCTTGCAAACTTGACACTTTGTAGGCTTTGGAGGGTTTGGTGGTTTCCTCCTGTCCGAATCCCGGGTCACACGTGAATTAGGTTCATAGTATGGAGTAGTTCGCATGAAAATACCAACTTTGTTGATGTCAAAGTATCTGTCAACCCGTTGTACCCATTCCCAATAGTATGGACTCTTGGGGTCATTCTTCTTTGCCCATCTGTGAAAATTTGCTTTGATCATGCAAAACGTCCCAAAATGTCAAGCCCTTGAACTGTCCAACAGGGAAACAAAGTCTCGCTTCTCGGGCCTCATTGTAAAATCATGTGACATCGAGGTCCCTACGAACTGGTCGATGCTTTGCACTTGGTGAAGCTGGGGCTGAAGCCTTTGCAGATGGTCGAGGCTGAGGACCACTCGGCCCAGACCGACGCACTGCCACGTGTGCCACATGCTTTCCTGCCGGAGAAGCTTCAAGATGAAGTCCAACATCGTCTGAACTGTCGCTCATGTCGGTAAAGTTGGCAGCCGCTTCGCCGTACTGTTCTTCTGAGCATGTGGACCTCTCGATCCAAGAAACTTGCATGCTGGGTCTCCAGCCCCATGACCAATTGCACCACAATGCATGCGCTTTGATCGCTTCTTCAAGTCAGCCAGTTTTGCATGACGTTGCTCGATTGTGTAAGGTGAGAGCGAACCAAATTGCCCTTGCCGGGTTCGCCTTTTTGACCAAACTTGCCTTTGGCTTTGCCAAAGCTGCATGACAATGAGCTGCCAATTGCAACGAAACGCATCACCAGCTTTTCTCTCATCAGCGTCTTCGACATCCAACAGACAGTTCAATGCCATTGTTTCGTACTTATCAACATCGTCGTAGTAGTCATAGTCATCCTCACCAGCTGTTTGGGGTTCATCTTAAATTTCACAAAGGAGACCAGCGTAGGATTCATCCTCATTCTAAGTTTGTTCATCATTCCAATGTTCATTCCAATGTTGCTCATCAACGTCCTCCCCATCGTGGTAGGCGGCGTAAGCTGAACATGGGTACGAACCCTTTCCTGAAGAAGATGTGTACTTCCCCTTTCCAGGGCCCTATCCACTCGACTTTCCCGATGATGTGTGTGTAGGTGCACGTCCTGTCCAGGATCGTGATCCCTCACGAAGATGTATCTGTCCATATTGTTCGACAAGTACAGTACCTTGGCGACACCTTCAAAGTCCGTGGTAGCTGCACATGCACGAACTACCAGTCCTTCTTGCCGTGACAAACCAGACAATTCAAGCATCAGCTCCATCCTAAGTGAGTCTGACAACTGCATCGAAGGGTCTAGCTCTATTAGAGTCTTCCACCATCTCCTACGCCGCTGTGTGTAGCTCAACATAGGTTCCAATGACTGTCTTGCCAATGGTCCACCAATCCTCTGACCAGCACAAAACAACTCTTTTGCTTCTTCCTGCGCTCTGGGGAAAACATGAGCCTTGATCTGAGTGATCAAATGCTCCAATCCACCCGGTGCCATCAGCTGATCAAGTCCAACATCACGAACAAACTGCAAAAGCATCTCCACGTAGTCCCTCAACGATCTTGTTGACAGGAGGTCCACGGTCAGCAGGCTTTGTCGAAGTCGATCTCGCTCTGCCGGCCTTGCCGGAGCTCGGAGTCGAGGGTGGTTTCAAAGTGTTGTCCTGACAAGTCTGGCAACATAGGCATCTCCTCGGTATCCTCATCCTCGTCCTCTGCACCACCACTGGGTCCGCAGAGATTCAAACAAGACTATCCTCATGAAAGCGTCCAGCGTCTCCATGGTAGATGTAGGATCCTGACTTCGTCTCCAAAGGTGTAGAGCCATACTGCCCCTGAACGAACTTCAATCCATTCACGGACATGGCAATCTTCCGTCCCTTCGGGATCGGGAGGTCCGCTAGGCCGCGAGTCGGACAATTGCAGAACCTTCCTCAACTTGAGGTCGGCCAATTTCAAGAATAGCGAGATTCAAATTGTCTTACGGAGTTGCACAAAGATTCCCCGGGCCTGCGACGTACCAGGAGTCAGGTCGTCCTGCTCCGCTACCAATGTGAATTTGGTACGGACTCGTCAGCAGCCAAACGTTTTCAAGTAGCGCGAAAGACTCAAGGGCCCTACAATCCAACCGGCAACAGCATATACATGTCAACCCGGGCATTCACACGACAGTGATATGAGGTCAAATTGACACAAAGTTCGCAATGGCTCTAAGATGCTCTAAGTCAAAAAGAGAAATGTCAATGTCGATTTGTCGATACCATTGCCTCATCAAGGTCATCAGCTGGCCTTTGGAAAACGTGGTCAAAATCAGACGCGAAGACAACTGCTCTGTCACAATGCATTTCTGTTCAAGCCAAGTTCAAAACGACAAAACAATGCAGATGAGAATGCATGATAGCACCTTTTCTGCACACGCTCATCCAGTGACATGCGAAGTTGCAAGACAGGAGTTGACTCTATTCAAAGGTCTGGAGTCGGCAAAAAGTCAGACAAATTGTGACGAAGCAGCATGTCCTCAAGCTTTGCCCTCAGAAAGTCACCAGCTGCAAGCTTGGCTATGCCAGGCTATGCCAGGCTACGCTGGGTGCCGAAAGTGGGGAACGGCATTGTCGTACAAAATGCCACACATGCCGCATACTTTCACCTCTTTTGGGCCCCCTTCGCAGCCTGTTCCTTCCTGTGGCTGGTGGTCAATGCCACAATTGCGATCATCCTCATCCTGGCGCAGCAGGCGTATTTTTCCATCTTCACCCCAGGATGGGCCCCAGGAGTTTTGAATCAAGTAGTATCCTGCATTCAAGGATTTGTCTTTGCCATACCCGATGAGGGTCACAGCATGGTTGATGACTGCATCTTGATCACAGGAATCGAAAATTCCGCTTTCGTATGAACTCCACTTCGAGGCATCCACTGAGACTGCAACTGGACCTCGTTCATAGATCGCATGAAGCAGGGGGAGATATGCATTTTCTGGAAGCCGCTCCCAGCCATGCATGAATTGCATGCCAGGTGCATCTGAACTTGCACCGTGGAAACCAACAGCAGCGACATCCAAATCGGAGCTCCTCTTGGATCGCTGAATCAAGGATGAATGAGAACAAGTGCCGTCGACTCCATCATAAGGTATCTCAGTATCTGTCTGCAGCGGATGTTCCATGACATATTGGAAGGCGAGTTCAACGGTTGCACCACCACATTTCCCGGTGCCACCACACTTTCTGGCATTGGGGACACAGGAGACAAGTTCTTGAGCTGAAAAGCTTCTCTGTCCACTCTTGTAAATTTCGGCGTGGCTGTCCAGCACTGTGGTAGCTGTGACTGCCCAGCAAGAGCCGCAGCCTCCCTGGTCCCGCACATTGGTGAGAGTTTTCAAGCTGGTCCAATTGAGGAATTGCTCGGGAGTCTCTGAGGTGCTGAGCTGCGCCAGTGAGGCTCTGAGAAATCCTCTTGGAGCTCCTGAAGTTCCTCCGACTCCGGAAGCTGAACCAAAGTAACCTCTCATCGACTGCAGCTCTTCCTCGCTACGATCTGCAAGAGGCCCCACTCCAGCTGTCCACAGGCGATCTGGTCGCTGGTTCCATCGTTCAGCCTCAGCTGCAGACTGAACAAACCTGGCCAGCCGACGGTGGTACTCTTCTGTGCCTTTCACATAGTCCTTGTTGTACTTTCGCATGTAGTCTCCAAACTTATGGAGCAATGCCTCATCATGAGTATCATGAGGATGGGCTTGCACCTCTACTCCAAGCATTTGCTGAATCAGCAGCGGTGCAATCGCAACAAAGAGATATGAATGCATTGGATGCATTGGATGCTTTGGATGCTCTAGCAACCCGCAGATTGGAGCAGCGAGGTTGCAGAAGATTTCGTTCCCAGAAGCGTCTAGATCAGACGCCGTGCTTGAGCCCAGGGACCGAGATAAAAGTCTGCAAACGACACAAGTTGAATTCAAAATCATGTAAGGATGTCATGAAAAAAAACATGCATTCTAAAAATGATTACAATTCACAGTCCATCTCACATTGCACCTCATAGTGCATCATAACAGAACGGATTTCAAGAAGTAAAATTCAGCTGCGGTCCTGGGCGGGATGGATGAAGGACTTGCCTCAGGCATCGACATAGCCACCTCAATCAGACGGTTCTAGATGTTTGCCCTCCAAAAGCCAAGCTAGAAAAATGAAGAGTGAAAGAAGCGCAAAGGCAAAGCGGCTTTAGCGCCAAAACAGTTCCAAAAGCTAAGTGTTTCCAGTGTGTCCACTGTGCAGAACTGGCAACGGCCTCCTTGCTCTAAATGCCAAGTGCTGCAGCATCGCACCATTGCGCCGACGGAAAAGTATACAGTACACTTACAAGGTCGGCTGCATTTTTCTTACCAGGTTGTGTTACGCTTGTGTCACGCTTGTGTCACGCTTGCATCGCTGGGAACTTCTTGAGGCCCGTGTGGTCGTGTGAAGCACTGGAGAACTTCAAACTTCAGTGGTCAGTTCCAGTCTGCATGTCATGTCCATCAAGCTGCCTTTGACGGCGAGGGGAAAACAAAGACACACCATTCTACAAAGCTGGCGCGAGTGATTGAAGCAAGGACTTGCAAAGACCCTAGACGATCAACCTTGAAGTCAGCTGCACCAAGGTCCATCCATGCTGATGGTACCAAGATGGTACGAAAATGTACAGCAGCACAGGTTCAAGGCAGAGCGTACACTCCAGTTGGACTTGGAGCAAACCGTACTCTGATCTTCGACTCTTCTCCAGATGCAGAGGCCTGCCAAGAATCGACAGTGCAGAAATAATTAGAGTCTCAAAGTATCTCGTAGTCAACGCAGTCAACGTAGTCAAGTCCCTTGACCAAAGCCATGGTCCTGTCTTGATGTAGAAGGCACTCGCGCCAGTTTGCCTGGTGTCTGAGCATTCTAACACATTAAGTGAAAACTGCCCGAAAGTTTGCCATTTGAAACGAAGGCCTTGTGACACTCCAGCGCTCACCCATCTCATTCCAAGGTGACGAGAGTTTCCGGACCTTCAAGGCAACCAAGCTAAAGATGCACGCATAGTTAAAATGTCTTCAATTTACTGTAGATTCCCCTTACTAAGCATCGTTCGAGTGACGTCACTGTCAGCGAGGTAATTACGTTTTCATCCAGATACATAGTATACATTGTGTACTGATAATAATATTATACAATGTATGCAACTGTCTGGAGCTATCCATAAATGTGATTCAGCAAGTTTCTCTCGGCATATTCGTTCCAAAAATTAGAGCTGCCGGTGCAAGACACGGTGCCTCTTTCGAGCTGCTGAATAACCAGCAAGGAGTGCAGCCGCAGCGGTTGCACTTCTTGAGCTCGACATACCCCTTGAACAAAACATAGCATCGATGCATGGAATATCATGGAATGCTGCACAATGCAATGTAGAGTGGTGCACAACTCAGGACCAGGGCAATGGCCTGTCGCTAAATTCGTTTGAACTCCACACCTCATGACTCATGACTTTTTATGATTTGTTCAAGGACATGAACGATCTGGGCACCGACGCAGCACAAATCCCCCGCGACAAAAAAGGAAAGCTCTGCATGACTTCGCTTCGCGATATCTTTGCAAAAGGGACTTCAGGTGGATCTCTAAGGATGGGACAAGATCTCTGCTAGCACAGGCTGTCGAGGATCTGACAGGACCCATCTAACTCATCTGACCCGACCCACCTTGACCCATCCCCATTTCAGAGTTCGGAACCCCACAATGCCAATTGAAGATTATTGAAGGCTTTGCCTCGCTGTCGTCCCTTTGCATGGTGGAGTGGTACGGAAAAGGGATAGCATCAGCCTACACAAAGTTGCAAGTTGGATGCATTGAGAGAATCGTGAGAGATGTTGCGCGGTCAGAGCACCAAATCAGCTGTCTGGCTTCTACTGCCTACTGTCATTCAGTTAAGATGTGCCTTGCGTCGCCCTAAGGACAAGAGAAGCTAGCCGCCCGCACTTGAAAAACACTTCCGCATAGAAATTGAAATGCCGACACGAGATCACTACAGTAGAGCTTCTGTCAAACCGGATTCATCGAAGCACTTGACGTGCAGGCAATTTCTATAACCACAATCATTCATGCACTGATAAATGTCCGAACGGGATGCACTTAATGTCAAGACATCAAAAACACACGTTGGACATCTTTAGACCAATATGATAATTTAAACACTTTTAAACAAAGCTAAACGAAGGTCAGCAAGGTCAACAAAATTTCAGAATGGTAGACAAAAATTTGCAGCTACATTAGCTGCTCTTTTATTCGGCATCTGTCCTTCCACAGCTGTCTTCCGACAAACGATCCCAGGCCCGTATGGCCACACAGTGAGTCAGGCACATTTGCCCGACCAGGGGATCAACGGTCAGAGTAAAACTGGTGCTGCGCTAAAAATTAAAGTTAAAACACCAAAAACATCCCAGGACTATCCAAAACTTGTCAAATGTTGATGTTTTTGCATGGAACTGTTCATACCCAAAATCTGTTCTTTGGAAAATGCATGACAATGACATCTTGAACTCGCACCAGAGAGCTTCCGAACGGAAAAGTTGAAACTCGTGTGAACAAAGCTGATCGGCATAATTCTGCCACTTGACATTTCCATCGCATCATCCTTGTACAATTGACTTTACCTGCCGGTCAAAGCAAATTGATCGGAGTCGGATCGCAAAGCTCAGACTAAAACCATTCCCGAACCAAAGAGAACCGATGCCTTCACACCAACTCGATCCAGGACTGCTAGAGCCTGCCAAGACATCGACATGTTTCTTCCGATAAATTATATAAAGCTTGTGGAATTGTTTAAAACGCGTGTCCGCGTGTCATCTCTCATCTCTCATTTTTCTGGTCTCTTTCTCTGCCTTGTCGACTATGTGCTGTGCGTTGAGCTTCGCATCATCCTAAGTTCATAAAATGCATGGTTTCACAGTGAGGTAGGGCACTTTGCCTTCCAAGCACTATGCTGAGGCATACACGTACTGAAGCTCAGGTGTGTTGTGATCAATCCATCTGTCCTAAGCAAATCATGCAGTGACAAGTTGGTCAGTAAATTTGCACAGCCCATCAACAGTCAAGAGCCACACAGATCTAAGGGGCAAGCTGGCAGGACCATGCTTCGCAAGGCCACAGGGGTTTTGCCCATACCATCAAGGTATCCACCATCTAACAAAACCTGAAAGCTATCTGAAAGGGAAACTGAGGGAGTGACATCCAGTGACATCCAGTGACATCCAGTGACATCCAGTGACATCCAGTATCCAGTGTTGACTCTACAGGAATGGTGAGCTCGGCTCGAACGGAGCCTGCTGCACTTGGGATCCAAAACCTCCAATTGCGTTCTCCTCCAGGCTGCAGCTCTAACAAGATGAAAGGTCGCAGTACGCTTCGGCAAATGCAACAGCTGCTACAGCTGCTACGGCTGCTACGGATTTCTGTGGTCCCCAAATCATTCTTACAATTCAATGCAATTAATACAACATCATACAAATTCATACAACATCATCTCAGAAAACCCACCAAAGTCGACCAGTCCACCGTTGCTCCTCAATAGTGATCACTGCGCGATGGTCTGAAGCAAGCCAGCCAACCAACTTCTTGTCTAGTGGCTTCACCCAACCTTGGCATGCTGAATGCTGGTTGAACTGCCGAACAAAGTTGTACAGTCTTCCTTCAAATGATTGAATTGGGTGCTTGACGGGCATCTGCTACTGTTGCTGAAATGCCGTATTTCTTCTCAAGTTCCTCTGCGGCCTGCAGGTGGAATTGAAGTGGCAAACAAGGATAACAAAGTTTCTATACTTTAGCACAACAAGAGATTGGTGAACTACATTGTTCCAGTCCTTGAGCGACTCTCGCAAACGACCTCCAATGGACAGAATGGCAAGTGTGCCATCTCGGCCCTCCCGTGCGATGCGCCTGAGTCTCAACCAGTCTCATGCTGCACAATCTACACGTCTGGAAAAGTCGAGAATCGGCACACACAGCATGGTCATCATGTTCAGCACATGGATACAATACAGATGCATGTCAGCATGTCCTTTCTGCACATTCCAGTACGGCTTCCTGCACCTTTCTGCAATCTGAGAGACCCTTTTCCAGGCTCCAAAAAGCGAGGTGGTGGCATTTCGATGTCTCCATAGGCACTGCCTCGCGGGAACCTGAGTAACTCATGGTGAAAGCGCTTATGATTCATGCGCTTCGGATGTGGTTCGGATGTCATTCAGATGCGGTTCTGATGTGGTTCGGGTCACTACACAGAGTACTCAGCACTGAGAGCCGTGCCGAAGAGCAGTCGGCGCATCATCGATTTGTGCCAGAGTGTGAATCATGTGGCAAAGTTCAGCCTTCAGGGGAGAACAGCAGAACTTCTCATGTCTTAAGCGATCTTCCCTCATTGCTCTTGCAATAGGCTACCACAGCCTCATCAGCTGAAGCGCAAACCATCATCTCTGGAATGCAACCTTTCAAGGTTCACATCTGTGTGGAATATTCCCGCATGTACAAAGCCACTGCAGGATCTGCAGGATCTGCAGGACAGATCAGGACAGATCAGGACAGATCACCCGGGAAAGATCCCGAGGTCCCGACTCAAGTAGGACAAATCGAAAGCTCCACAGTGTGTGGCGCCATCCTGCATCGAGTTAGTCGTGTTGCTCCGAGTCCATGCGATGGTCTCGTACGGCACGGTCAAATCAAGACATTTAAAACGACCCAATCGTAGAATGTTTGAATGTACATGAAAATCATTATGTCTTCACATCATTCATATTAGCTTTTATAGTTTATCTTTATAATTGTTATAGAATATGGTGTGTCTGATATGATTATAGACTTATAGACTATAGATTGCATGTAAGAAATGTAAACACAAATGCTTTGCCAATGCTTTGCTGATGTGCTTCATTCATGGATTTCAAGCAGACATGGCAGCATGCAGTCCGCCCCAACGAGGCCAGCTCGGTCAAGAATAAAACGCACGGGCAGCTTCTGAAGGGCCACATCCTGGGTGGAATCGGAGTATCTCTCAGAGTATCTTTGTGTTGAAGCATCCAGAGATACCTTTCTGCATATCTTTCTGCATATCTTTCTGCATATCTTATCTCTCTGTATGTCTTTCGGCATATCTTTCGGTATATCTCTGAGTCTTGGAAGTTTTTGCTGCAAAATGCCGCTGCCAATCACTGCCACATTCTCAGCAGTTCACATGCACAAGTTGGTCGTAGCCTCGCTGCAAGAACCTGAACGTTCAAAGGCGGGAAGGAGACGTAGCTGCTGGCTTTTTCGTTTTCAGTTTCAACAGATGCATATTGCACCCGCAGAATCCCATCGAGAGCGTGGCGTGGAGTAAATTGCGCAGAACGGCTTAAGGCCTCTGGTGCGACAAATCAAGTTAAGTCACTACAAATTCATTTCATTTCAGCCTCTGACTTGAACAAGACAGCCCTCTAAACAAAAATAACGAAACATACAATCCTCATCAATCCTCATCCAAAGACTTACACAGGCTTTGATCGGATCCCGAGGCAAAGACAGCAAACCGTTACAATCGTTACATGCTTCATCCATCATCCTGTGCTACATCACAAGTGGCCTCCGGCAGCAAGTCCAGCCGCAAATGTCACAGCCTTACAGTCGAGACCGTCGAGACCGTCGAGACCGTCGAGACCGCCAAACCTCCAGCGAGAACGAGCTCCCTGAGATCCCTGAGATCCATACGTGCTGCTCTGCAATACCCACATCGAAGGTGCGTTCCTGAACCGCACCGCTGACCCAGAGTAGCCCTCCTACATTCTCCAGTTTTGTGGCTTGGGGAGCTTGGGGTGTTCACTCCAGATCAAATTTTGAAGACCAACTTCGATTCCTCAGAACACTTGTCTTCTAAGCCGCATTGTGCGTTGTGTCTACCCGCTGAGCTTTGCACTGGACCGAAGCGTTTCTCAAAGATCCCAATGCCAGTTCCTCCAGGCCTGATTTCGATTCGAAGGCGATTCGAAGGTAATCCGTTCCAAATTCAACTAGTCAAGTGGAATGAAGTGGAATCAAGTGGAATCAACCGGAATCAAGTGGACAGGTTCATAAAGTGAATTGGATTCGGACATGGCTGCAGTGATCGCGACGACTTTTTCATCCCGCCTCATATCCGCAAGTCCAATGCAATGGAATGCAGCTACTTGGCTATCTTAAATGACTCCAATCAGGGTTTCTACATGTTTCTACTGGCCTGCTCCATGCCGTGGCATCTCCACAACTTGAAACAACAGTGGACAAGAGCAATGACAAATATGACAACAGGCATCTGAGTTCTGCTCTCACCCTCACGCACCAGCTGATCTGCAAAGACTTTGGTCAAGGGAGGCTGTTTTGGCTTCTGCCTCGGACCGAGCTACTCTTGCATCTGAGGCTAACCTGGTAACCTCTAGGAGACTCTAGACTGTCTAGACTGCCTGTGTGAATTTTAAAGGCAAAAGTGCTCCAGGCATCCGGGCGTCTCATCTGGGCTTTTTGGAACCTGGACTGCTGGAGAATCTGAATTCGCGGACGATCTCAGATTGCGCACTGAGCTAAGATCCCAACATTGAACTTTGGCTGGACCGCGTGCAGTTTGTCACTTGCCTGCGAAGAGAGCCAAGATAAATTGCTCTCACTTTCCCATGATACCCAGAAGTCACCTTCTGCGCAGGCTCGTAGCCATAGCCTTTCTTGGTCCTCACACATGACATCGTGACTTGAAACAACTTGAAACAGATGAAACAGATGAAACAGGTGAAACCGATTGTTTATTGAAAAAGGCATTCTGGTAAACGACGGTTCCCCGCTGCGGTCTTGATGTGCAAGAAGACGGGCTTCTGCAAGAGGCCATCTTCGTGGTCTTGCCGGATGTTCTCCAAGACCTGAAAAGAACAAGCTTGGCACCGTCACGGGACACCACATCCAGCGTTATGTGTATATATATACATATACATACATATACATACATACATACATACATACATACATACATAATATATATATATATATATATATACATAATATATATATATATATACATAATATATATATATATATTATATATACATATAAACTCTATGTATATATATATACATAGATATAGATATATATAGATAGATAGATAGATAGATATAGGTAGATAGATAGATAGATAGATAGATAGATGAATATATTCACTATGTACAAACATGTATAAACTATGTATAAACTATATACAAACTATATCTAAACTGATATAAACTATATACAGACTATATCTAAACTGATATCAACTATATATAAACGATATATAAACTATAGGACTACAATATATATATATATATATACACGGTTTCAAATGCTTTAATATCGTGTTTTCTGTGGTCTTTAGACGCTTGTATCACGGTCAGGTTTCGTCGATGAACCTGCACCAAGGTGTCCATGTCGTGGCCATCAATGGGACCAACCTTGGACCGAAGGATCTCAAATGGAGTCAGAAAATGAACAAACTATATTACTATATATAAACTATATAATATTATATAATATAGATCTCAAATCGAACTGATTGTGCTGAGATCTGAGATCCAGCATAGTAGAAGCCCAACTGCTCGAAGAGCTCTCCGCGACCTCTGTATTATCTCTTGTAGGGACTTTCTCAACATAAGTCGAATATTGTCGAACTCTCTCCACAACAGTGTTCTGGCCGAGGCGGGTGCTTCCCGAGCCGCTCCCTCGGAATGGTACTGTCTTCACAAAGTCGCGAGTGTACCTGTTGAGCCCGGTCTCATTTGACACCAAAGAGAGATAGCCAACCACCACAGGCACTACCAGGCACCACTACCATGGTTTCTATGTATTTGATCCATGCTCATGCTGAAAAGGAAGCATGGGGCACTCATCCAGTTTTGCGGCTGCAGCTGACAGCTGGTCTGGCAAGAGCTGCTTGGTGGCATTTTTGGCAAACCTGAAACCAACGCGGTACATTGAACAATCTGAACACAAACCGAAGTGCCGATTTATTTGGACCACAGCCAAACTGCCTTCCGCGTCAGAACAATGCATGGGAGCACCCAAAAAGTGAACGTTGAGGCAAGAGCTGTCGGGCGTTCTGGAAGGCTTGCGAAGTCTCAACCTTGGCGATGTTGCCCTGGATGTCGAGGCCTGAAACTGGATGCAGCGGAACCCCCTGAGCTCAAGTTTCTGCTGTACTAGTTTCAGGAAAATTCAGGACCATCGTGGAATCCCAACCTCGAGTTTCTGCAGTGCTAGTCCCAGCCAGAGTTTCCGAAAGGGCACCCACTGGTTGCTTGACCTGCAAAGCAGACGTCATGCCAGGTCGGAGAGAGGAAAATCGGTGGAAATCTGTGCTCCGTCCTCAATGTTTGCATCCAGCCTGGTTGTAAAAGGTAGGCCTTCAGCATCCACGAGAGATGCACTGATGCACTTTTGGGACGAGTACACCGAACAATCACGAAGAAACCGAACAAAGCAAAAATGCAGAATGTACTGGAGTGTTTTAAGGCCGTAGCAGAGACACTTGACCATTGTCGTTGAGGATCACCACCTGCGCAGCTTTCCGTAGATTTCTGAAGCATCGGTGTAGCATTGGTGTAGCTTATCTTGATCATTCTTGATCATTCTTGATCTCTGTCCATGTACAGCTGAGGTTAGAGCGACTTTGGAGCCCAGGCCGCCAGCCTTAGCCATCTCAGCTTGACTCATGCCATGGCAGCCATGGCTACATGGTGTGACACGGTGTGACACCATGTGACACGGGGCGCATGGGGCCCATGGAGCTGGGTGGAGCTGGGTCGAGCAGGGTCCCGTGCATGATTCATGGCTTCCCAGGCCATGCCACCAGTGATTGCTCCGTCTCCAATCACTGCAATGCTATGTCCAGACCTGAAGGCATCTGCAAGGCATCTGCAAGTCGACGCCCTTGAAGTTTTGAATTCACTCTTTGTGATCTTTGTGAGACTGGTTCGAAGAAAAGCCAGTTCCTCTCATTTGCATCTGTCATGTACTGTCATATGCCTCTGCAGACGATCTTTGGCTGTTTGAAAGCCAACAGCGGCGCCTTGACAATAGAAAGAGGGCAAATGTGAATCCTTCCGAAAGGTAAGGGATATCTTGCTGCAAATGGAAACAGAAGCAAGCACTAGCAGTCACTAGCAGCTAACTGTCTCAGCTTCGCACTGATGGAAGTTGAGGAGTGTCCAGCACCGAAGGCGTCATAGACTGACCTTTGGGAAGTGACCGTTTTTTTGCGGAGCTCAGGTGGACCGTGGTGGACCAAAGCCAGCTGCTCCCTGCGAACACGTGAGGACCCGACTCCTTGCGCTTTGCAAAACCTGAAAGACCACCTCCCTGACCTGATCAGTTGAGAACGGAATTCGTGTCTATTGCAAGTGCGGTCCAGTCTTATGTCTTTCACACTCACAACAATTGACGGCTCAAAAGAGGGTACCAATGGGATCCCCAATGGGATCCCCAATGGGCACAATTTTGTGACTTTGCGTACTGAATCCAACTTTGGGGATCGTTCAGGACTTGTAGGAAAGCTTGGCTGACGACGTAGAGTGTAAATTCGCGAGCGTCTGCCCGTTAAAACCTCCAAGATTCAAGTTTCAAGACTTAAAGCGAAGAGGAATTATCTGACCAATCTGCACATTCTTGGGTGCAATGTCAGTAGGCCTTGTGAGGTTGACACTGATGAGCCACGTCCCAGCCTTGTGACAAGGTTCTGTGAAAGGGAGGGGGAGTTCACTAATTCTTTCCCACTTTTAAACTGCCACGACAAACACGTCATGCTGTCCTTCTGCTGAGCAATTGAGTCTTCTGCAAATCTCATCCCGCGGGGTGTCGTACACGTGATGAAGTGCAACAGTTAGCTCCACGACACCAAGTCCAGCACCTGAGGCCAATTCTGAACTTGGACTCTCTGTGGACTTCTCTCTACTGTCCACAGCATCTATGAATCGTCAGAATCAACATGCATCTATGTAATACATCGTAGATCCTACCAAGTAGCAGATTCTAGTCTGATCTAGTTATCTAGTCTGTAGATCTTAGTCGTCTTGAGGTCTGTGCCCAGATGTCCACCAGTGACAGATACTGCATCGAGAACCTGTCAATTTCGCTTCCGATGGCCATGCGAGGCAAGATCAACTGATCACTGCATACACTCGGGTGCCATATCGGTGCCATATCGGTGCCATAGCGATATCGGTTGCGCACCGGTTGCGCCTGCCATCGAACCTCTTCTGCAAGCTGCTTCAGCTCAGGGACATTCATGCTGCGAATCCTGGCACAACGCACGGCACAGCGTGACGTGGCGTGGCACCATCCAGGTGAGTGACTTTCGCATCTGGCAATATGTCAGTTATGTAAAGGTATGTATCAGTATCGTCAGTTTTGTTAGTTATGTCTGCCATTGCCAAATGCAGCAGCCAGGTGCAGCCATATGCGATACTTTGTAGATACAATAGATTCAATAGATGTGTTGTGAAATGAGAACCTGCAACTGTCATGTGCCACAATTGGAGATAGGAAGACCGCTGGGTACCCTCGTCACCAAGAGAATCCAACCTCGGTCACAGGAAAACTGCTAGGTGCATCAACTGAGTTTTATGACACCGATTTGTATCTCATGCCAAGGTGGCCACAATGGAGTTGCTTTGGGTGGGAAGTGACCTTTCTTCGGTTCCTCTTCCTTCGGAGAAGCCTGCATGTCTTTGATGCCAGTGATAACTCCCCTTCTTGGCAGTCAACTGCATTTGTTCACCGGAGACCCACCTGTTTCTGTCCAACTCCAAGTGTTCCGGATCGCGGTGCCCCACATTTGCGGCCTCGGGTCAGAAGTTCGGGAGATGAGTTTAGATCATTTTAGATCTAGATATATCTAGATCACCTCACATCACTTTCCGCTCACAATCTGAGAGGCCAACAGAAAATGTCATCCTCCATAAATACGTTTCCACATTCAGAGCAGACCTGGCTTATACAGCACGTCATGCGACAGTCAAGTGGTCTTCCGTCTGCCCATTCTGAATCGATGACCTGGCCTTCGCTGCTCCTTTGAGGGTATCATTGGTCACAGATGTTTGACTTTGAGCTGCCGCGAGCGCAAGGCGCTTACGATGGTTCCTTCACCGTGTCACCATGTCAGGAAAGTCAGCACCAACTGCTGGTTGAGTTGAATTACAGTTGAATCATAAAGCCAGATTCCCATAGTTTCCCAGGGTCCCAGTAACATTTCTGAATGATGTCCTTCGCCGGCGTGAGTGCGCGGCCACAAGGCCAGCCGGAACACCCAGCGCCACTGCAAGGAGTGCTGGATCAGACCGGTCTATGGAGAATTGGATTTGATAAACATGATCACTGCAAGGCTACCTTTGGACTGAAGAGTGAGCTCTGACAATGTGTGAAAATGTGCGCGAAAATGATACGTACAAGAATGGCTGAAACAAATCAGTGCAATCGAGGACTGAGGGGTGGACAACAAGTACTGATCTTCTGGCTTGATGAATTCTCTGTAGGGACCACAATCCTGCAGTTGACTGAAGCTGTGGCTGAGTGGCTGTGCCTCAAGCATAAGTAGCATAAGTGGACTGAGGAAACGCCCTGTGTCCTCTTGTTTGACAGTGGACCTGTGGACTGGCTCCATTTGGAAAACTCCCTGAGGTGAAGCAGGAGGCAAAGATGCCGACATGAATCAACATGAACACAATTACAATGAACACAATGAACACATTGCTTATCATTGCTTTCATCAAGGCTTTGGATGGCTTTGGTACGTTTTGATTCATAGATTCACTAAGATGCACGATGATGCACGCACGATGCACCATAGTGTCACAGGCCTCACAGCGGAGGGTGGTACCTGCAGGGAGTCACCAGGTCGCATTCTTTGCATGTCACGATCTCTGCCCTGACTTTTGTGGCGCTGCAAAGCACCTGCTCAACAAGAAGTGACATGGCCTGAGACGGCAGCGAGCACAGCGAGCACGGCGAGCAAACTTTAATGTGCGCAAAAAGCAGAAGCCCTGCCTTCAAGGCCGAGTGTTGCAGAAAGTCACCAAAAGTTTGAGCCGTAAACTGCAGAAACACTGGTGGTCAGGCTCACTCCATGCCCGGAGACCGAGAAACCTCTTGCGCATGTTTGAAGGTGACAATATGTGACAACAAATACGAAAATCGGGTCTTTTCAGGATCTGTCCACTGTGCTCTGTTGCAACCACTGGTCCACCGCCTACAGGAAACGGCTCCACATGCCAAAGTATGCCAAAGTGGGGCGCAACTTCTATGGGTGTCCAATGCCACAAGACTCCACAGGTCAAAATCTGCACTGAGCAGACCACAAACTGCACTGCCGACGTGGCAAGCTCATGTGGTAATGATGAAGTAGATGACAACTCACCTGGGCCACCATGGGCCACCACATTGGTTCCGTGTACACAATGCAATCGTTTCGTCTGCCGCACCTGCCACACCTTCCGCACCTACCTTCCTTTGGCAGCTGCAGTGGCATCAGCAGGACTCAGGTTGCCACGATGTTCTAACACTCCATGGCTACCTTGATCCTGCAAGAAAGACATGTAGACGCCAAAACTTTTTCGATATGTCAAAGATTGCTTGGCTGATTTGGCTGACGCTGTGCTTTCGTTCAGCTCCTTCAAGGCATCCCACAAGTCTTGTGCTTGACTTTGAGGTTTCCGAGATTTAGAGTCGGCAGGGAGGAGCAGCAAGATCTTGAGCCTGAAGTAGCAAAGGTGTCATCATGCAATTCACGTGATGCAATTACCAGCACAAAGCACATACATGCACTCATCTTATCATTCTTATCAAGACATGCCTCAACAAGTGAGCCTTGATCTCTGCCACCAACGAGTCCACCTTTCGATTGTGGTATATGCAGGGTGTTGCATCTGGTTGCCAATGCAGGAAGCAAAGCAACAAAAGCAACAAAGGCAGCGGCAAAACGGTGTGCTAAAACTGACACACCGAGCATGTACTTAGCCCTTGCATTGTACAAAATCACAAAGCCCTCTGAGAGAGCCGCGGACTCTACACCAGCAGGGTCCAGGAAGCCATATGTGACCATTGCATCAGTCTGAGCATAGGGTCGAGGCCTGTAGCTCAAAAAGGCCAAAACAGGTCCAAACACACAGTACAGCCTTAGTACACCCACCGCCAGAGCCTCTGGAAGAACCATGACGCCAGCTGGAAGAGTCGCTCCTGTCAGCAATTCTTTTTGGTATTTCATTTTGCCTGAGAGATCCTCAAGTCAACTGATCTTCTGGAAAATGTAGCAACACATGGCAAAGCTCTTAGATTAAAGCTCCGAAAGTTTTTTTCACCTCATCTGGAGTTCCAGCATGCGAGAAATAGCGCCGCAGGTTTTGAGGCCTTACACATGGCAACTTTGCTATTTGCATCTCTTTGCCATAGCACTATTCTGTCGTGGTAGCAATGTGCCAATGAGGGATATGAATTGCAAAGAGCTTGGGGACGGACGAAAAGTGCGAGTTTCGATACAGGCGGCCCAGTCTCGTGTCAGAGTGAAGGAAAGCCTCAAAATACCATTCGCACTCCGGGCACACTGGGCACACTGGGCACAGGAGGTACAAGCACTTCTGCACGCTCAACCATCGCATTCAAACCACTCTTCAGCTGTTTTTCAGCGCGGAGAGCAAGAATCCTCCGAATGATCATTAACATGTGCCTCTGCATGTGCTGCAATGAGCGGCATGTTGTACAATGCAAGGGTCCAACTCCTGTCGAATGATTGTGCAATAAAAAGCAGAAAGTGGACCCTAAAACAAGAAGCTATCACGGGCTACTAGACTGTTACACATATTAGACTCCTAGACTGTTCCTAGTGTCATTGCTAGACTTTGCGCGCTTTCAGCGCTTCGAGAAAATGGTGAAACGCCTCGGTGGCAACGACTCTCCGCGTGAGACCTCTTCCGCCAAACCTGGAGCAAGTCGCTTGGATTGCGAAGCTCGGGTCGGAGATGTCTCAGGCTCCTGACAGTTGAGCAAGCACAGCGCAACATCTTTCAAGCGTTCTGCGTAAAATTATGTAATACATTCTGTAACACTCTGTAACTCTTGGGATAGTTTCATCGATTTGATCGTCAGCATTGGATGTTGTCCCAAGGATTAATCATCTGAACAGGATCATCACAAGAGTACATGGGTGAAACTCAAAAACTGAACAAAAACAAGGGGGCCTCTTCGTAGCATCTCGAGGTTGCCACGGAGTCATGCCTAGTGGCACGCTTCTCCTCCAACTCCTCATATTTCCACGTCACCACCGAGTCTTGCCGACTGGCACGTTTGCTTTCGGAATCATTGCGCATTTTAGTAAGTTTGAGTAGTAAATTCTGCATTTCCAGGACTTCTTCTGGATTGTTTGCTTCAAAGATCTCTGACCCGCTCTCATCGCTATCTTCCACCTCGACCCCTGACGCAGATGACAATTTTCGCAGTAGGCTTTTGGACAATCTCAAGGTCAAACGTCGCTCGGAAGGTTTGCGACTCTGACTGCCCTGGCCCTTTGCATCGCTCTGAGCCTCGGGGGAGGATGCATCACTTTTTACCAAAGCACTTTTCTTTGGTAGTGGTCCTGGCGGTCCTGGCGGTCTTGTCATCGGCTTTGACTGAGACGGTTGAGCCTGAGGCTGTAGATTTGCTATGTTTACAGAGTGCTGAGCTTGGCATGCTTGCAGCGAGCGCTTTACCTCACAGTCTGCCAGCTGCCCGGCAAGGGCTCTGTGCTGCTCTTCCAAAAGTTTGTTCCCTTTGTGGATTCTTCGCAGCTCGTCGCAAACAGTTCGCAATGTCTTGCGCATCAGCAGCACTAGATCTTGCAACTCTGGCTTCAGGTCCTTCAAGTCTTTGGCTGATGTTGGCCTGTCTTCAACTCCAAGAAGTTAAGGCAGTGCTTGTGAAATTCCATCATAGAGCTGACAAACCCAATTACCCTTCAGACACAAAACATTAAAGCACGGTAGGTTCAAGACCACATCAAACATCAGTGTCAAAACATGAAGTGCTGTCCTGGCAGCACTAGGCATGACAAAACTATATAGATGTTGAAACTTGAAACTAGATTCTTTCTTTGAAGTCGGTCAAAAATCTGAAATATTGCCAAGAATCTGAGCACCGTCATTGCAGGGTGAGCATCGGCCGACGTAAGGTCCAGGATAGCCGCTTGCCATGTATTTAGTCACTTTTTAGTCACTTGGGTCTACGCTTTGCAGCACCAAAAAACAGAAAAACCGGAAGGTGCTGCTCAGGCGGAGGCTGGCTAGAAAACTAGAGCCCAACGCTGATCAAAAACGAGTGGATGTAGCCAATGGACTTCAGCCCTGTTGCAACAGTGCTCTAATGCAGATCTTCACGATCAGTTGGAATCAATTTGACATAAATTGAGAATTATTAAGATGAGTTTTCTGAAGAATTCCGAGGACTTTGCTCCCATCCAATATGCAGCTCGATCTCGTTCCAGTCGCGACAAGAACCAACCACTTGGAGGTGGTGCCTTCCAGCCTACAGTCGCATACCGGACTTCACAGCTTCCGGCCAGGGTGCTAGTGTGCTAGAGCTTTGGAAGCGGCTAAGCAACCAACTTGGGGCCACCATCACAACAGACTTGTACAGCTCAAATGCCTCCAAAAACTCTTGAAAGAAAGTCGAAAATCTCAAGAATCTTAAGATGAGCTCAAGTTTCGTGAAGGTCTTTGAATTTATCGTTTTCGTTCCGCGTGGAGGATTTCTGCAATTGACCAATTGACCTTGGCAGCCTTGGCAGCACCATCTTGCTCAGGTTCCCAAGCAGTGAGCGCCTGGATTCAACGATTTCAACGCGCTTCACTCAGTTTTGAATGCAACTTGCCTCACTTGGCTCCTCTGGTTATTACATATTAATATAGGCTATAGCCAGGCTATTGTCTTCTGCCTCGATGTCTTTCTTATCTTTCTTGCCAAATAAGATTGATTTGAGCTCTAAGCTATCTATGGTGCAGGACACCCAGGTTTGTACTTTAGGACCTTTACAGAGCAGTTCTGCTCTTGCTGGCCCTTCATCTTGCGTGTTGATGGACCATTATATCATGATCAAGGAGGCTAGATTCTTTTTGAAAATGGACTATCAAATGCCTTGCTCCAGTAGCTGTGATTAATTATGTCCTATGATTGTCACACCATAGAGCCTCCAAAGCACGCAAACCATAGATAGCACTGGAGTTTGCTGCCACAACGCATAACCTTAGTCCAGGACCATCCCTGGAGTAGCTGCAGTGGTAGGAGAGCAACCAGACTCAACGGGTGATATATGTATAATGTGATTGATCATAATACATATATATATATGTGTGTGTGTCTGTGTACTTCTATCTATCTATCTGTCTGTCTGTCTGTCTGTCTATCTTTCTGTCTATCTATCTATCTATCTATCTTTCTTTCTTTCTTTCTTTCTTTTTTTCTTTCGTTCTTTCTTTCTTTCTGTCTTTCTTTCTTTCTGTTTTTCTTTCTTTCTTTCTTTCGTTCTTTCTTTCTTTCGATTTATTCATATATTTGGTTCTTTATTTGTGTTTTACTGATTTATTCACGTATTTATATATTTATTTATCATGTATCTATCTATGTACTGATTTATTTGTTTATTTTTCATTTACATATATGTATATACATAATACAATATGTATGTATCATAAATCATACATACACGTACATGAATATGCATGTGTATATATAGATATATACACACGTATATATGTAGAGACTGTATAGATGAGATAGGGAAACTGGTCAAAGGTCTAGTCATTGAACGAAATTGCACGCCAGGTCTCTGCTTGAAAACATCCTAAATGTTACAATTGGTGAGACTTTACTTTTGATAGTCCAGTGGTGGCTGGAGTCCAAATATTCCTGGAGTCCTGGAGTCCTGGTTCTGACTATGCGCCAAGTGCGCTGTATCTATTCTCTTTCCAAGCCACTGAGGCGCTTTCTCAGCTGCCTCTTCACGCTCTTGACCTAGAGCTCGTCCAAGATGTAGCGTCAAAATGGCAGTTCCCGTCCAAAATACATGTTGCACATATACAATACCCCAATGGATGCTGCATCTCGCTGCATATGAGGTTCCTGCTTCGGCTAAGTATGCAGTTTTTTGATTCTGCCAATTGGAATTCGAATTTCAGCCACAAGGCACTGAAGTTTCCGAGATCTATGCTGCCTTTTGCCAAAAGCAACTCTTGCTGGGCGACGTGGTCCAATGCCTGACACCAGAAGTCCTGGGCGAAGGAGCTGCAATTGTGGTCTCAACTTGCAATTGCTGGGGGGGTATACGGTATAACTGGTATAACCTTGAAATTGTCAAGTCAATGTCAACGGTCCTAGTCCCTCCTTAATGTATTCCTTGCTCAAGCAAAAGCAGCTTCAGCTAGCACACAATTGCTTTCGTGATGAAACTTGCTGCTCGGTGTTATCCACTTCTGGAAATGGATCCTCTCATTCTACTCGCTGGTTGGGATCCTGGTACTCCTCTGCCAAACACTCTGGTTTGCAGTGCTCCAACCTCAAAGCGCGTCGTTCAATCCATTCCCACTCTAAAAAAACATCTGTCAAGGCTTCGCTGGGCGCGCAGCGCCCAGTTTGTCTGGACATCTTGGGTCCAACCTGGCCTCAAGTGGTCAAAATACAGCGCATCAAAACTGAACTGCCTGAGTCATCTGAGATCATCTGAGATCATCTGAGTCCAGTTCCACTCCAAGATGTAGCAACGATGCCTCACACGGGAACTGCTGTGCAACTTCAAGGTGCATGTTCCAACTTGACTGGACAACCAGAGAAATCCAGAGAATCAGAGTACGTTGCATGAGTTGCATGAGTTGCATGCTGGGTTTCTGACCCTCTTTGTGAGAGAAGCGTGGCCAAAGGTCTCATCTCTTCTTTGCCGCTGCAAACTAAAGAAACCTGACTGCGACATCTGCGACAGAACTGAGACCTTGTGACACCACTAGAGGACGAAAGATACGAAAGAAAACTCAAGAGAGAGGTGAGACTTCAGGCTTTAGATTCACTTTAGATTCACTTTAGATATCTTTAGGCATGGCGCATGGCTCTCGGCTTGCCACGGATGGGATGAGAACCAATGTCCAGCCACTCGCAGGTGAAGGCCTGAATGCAGCTGCGATTGCTGAGTCGAATGCCAAGTACCAACTCCTTTGCAGTTTGAAAGTGTTGGAGAGTAGACTGTACAGTAAAGAAATTACATGGTGGAGAACTGCGCAATAAAATCGGTAGCGATTTTTTCCAAATGAAGAGAGAAGCCTAAATCAGGACAATACGAGGAGAATTCGTCGCACAAGGTATCTAAGTCGGCTGTAGCATTTCTCTCCCTGTGAGGCTGCTGCAAGTTTTCTTCCACAGCAGTCAAAGCATCTCGAGCTGTCCCACCGCCAGCCTGCCAAACGAAAACCATGCTTAGAGAATCTTGGAGAACACTTCAAAAAGTATGGAAGCTGAGGACAGAACTGGTTGTTGAGCAATGATGTATTCATAAGGATGCCTCGCGGTGACATGGACAAAGTGATGCGCAAAGTGTTTCAATCCTTGCACTTGTCTGAGCGTTGGTCATTCCATTCTGGATGTGGGATATGTAGAAACGCATTTGTTCTATCTTGTTCTAAGAAATCCAACAAACATGAACCTCTGAATCGGCAATACATTGTGCGACAGCTAAGCTGATACAGCGTACTGCAAGATGGACAACACTGCCAGGAATTGGACATTTCGCCGTCGCCTGTTGCCAGCTGATGTTCTCCAAGTAAAGCTTTTATACCTAATGCATCAAACAAGAGCTGCAACTCTTTTTCCGGGAGGTCATTACGGAGCAGTGGCCAGAATGCCTGATGCAATGGCATGCCGTTTCTCTCTGACCTTTTCTGCAAGGGTTGCCTGAAGGTCGCATCTGTCGTCACCTCGCTCGCTGCGATGTCCAGCAGGTAGCGTTTTTGCACCTTACAGCTTTGAGCTAAGATGTTCAGGTAGCGCTCTTGATGCTGTTATGCCGAGCAAACCCTTAACTGCCTTAACTTGACTGGAAAATCGATTGGCTATTCCCTGTATTGGTGGAAGAAAAGTTCCCGACGAGATTGCTTGCTATTCTGAGGGCACCTGGAGCGAACTGCAAGCGGCGCAAAGTCTTCAATATCTTGGACAGGACAATTCTTAAGCGGGCCTTTGTTGCTCACTCTAGTGCACGATGAGAGGAGCCTACGGAAACAGTAGATATACGCTGAGAACAAAACACAATACCAATGAAGGGGCATATAAGTTTGGAATAAAAAAGACTGCAAACGCCGAAAGCGGATAGCACCGGATAGCCGGATAGCACGAACCATGACTTGAATCCACCTGGCAGCTGATCTGCGTCTCCCATGCACCTTGGACTGAACTCGGCTGAAGGAGAACTTCGACCTGACGACCTCACTTGTAAAGCCTCCGTGCCTCCCGCCTGGGTAGGAAAAGGAGCGCCACGAAGGCGCATAAGCCAGAAATATTGCTATCTGTTCGCTGAGCTCTGTGAAATTCCAGGTGTAGTTTCATCAGGGCTTCGCAACGAAAATGTTGAATGCTGCACGTGAAGTCCTGTGGTATTGGCTTGGTTCAAGTTCTGCCCGTTCTCTTCAAAGCACACTCGCGGTTGAGCCAACAAAATCAAACAAAAACTTGTTCACGATTGGTTGCACTTGGGGTCCAGAAGGGAAGCTGGTTTGGTAGCAAAGAATGATGCTTTTTGCCGTAGCAAGTATGTACACTGACATGGTATATATCGGCCTAAAGCCGGTGGCAAGTGCATCTCATTGGGCCAATTTGCCACAAGAGCGCACAACGCCATGGAAGTTGGATGAGTTTTTGAACTCAAAATCGAAAGTGAAACCGATGGCAAAAAGAGTCCTTCCAGACAGAGGCTCACTTCCAAACAATGTGTGTGTGTGCGCTTGGCTTGAATCCTCTTTGAATTCTGGCATATCCGACAGAAGAGCTCAAACTGGAAGTTTCAACGGTTGAAAAACTTACATGTATAAGTACGGTTCTGGAGCTTGACATGGCACGCTCTCAGTATCTCTCAGTATCTCTCAGTCTTGTTTAGTTGGGGATGAAGACCCCGAAGGGCGCCCCTCGGAGAGCACGACTCGGAGAGCACGAATGTGACTGCATTCCGATCATTTCCTCAGCACTTTCCTCATTGAGCTCCCAGCTGGAGTGAAAAGCACACCAATAAATTGCCAAAGAAGTGTGACGTTAAATGCCAGGTTGACCTTACTGACATTTGGCATGACATACACTTGCCAAGCTGACTTCAATATGCTCTTGCACAACAATCGAATCACAACAGCACTGGACATAAGCATTCAACCCACATGGTGGTCTGGCCCGCACATTTGTTTCCAAACGGAGCCTCCTGGCGACCATGCAGGATATGAACAGAATTGGACTGTCCAAGCGTAGTGAAAATTGATGAAAGCTAAGCACTTATTTACAGCATTAAGCAGCTCCAACCGACAGAAATGCTTTCATCTTTCATCGCTCTACTTTCCGCTCCCACATCATCTTCATGGCCATCACCCCGAATGCCACGCTCGTCAGGAATTGCAGAATTTGGAGTCGTGTGACCCAACTTTTCCATGGCCTGGAAGATTGTTGTGTGACCCGGCCCAGAACAGACAAAATGAACAAAATGCCAATGTCTTTCTATTAGCGCATGTGATCTACTGCAAGCACGGCTTCAAGCATGGCTTTATTACATTTCATTGAGATGTCCATGAAATCAGAGCATACTAGGACTTCTAAGCTCCAGTCGTAGGTATTTTCAACACCTGCCGGAGCTGCAGGTCAAAGTGTTACAGTAAACAGAACCTCACAGTATCCGTTCCAGTCAAAACCGCCAGAGGCATGAGGACTATCATCCGCTTGTGGCAGAAGAAAAAACGCTACGGTGTCTTTTTTAACATGCGCACCTTGAAGCCATAGTAGGCATACATCACGACATGGACAAAGGTGTTCCACAGCAGTCCTCGACATTCGGATATCTAGTGGGTCCATTCAGGATGGTCCAGGATGGTCCAGGATGGTCCAGGATGGTCCATGCCTGGCCTATGTGCTGAAGATTCATCCGGTATTCTAACCAATTCCACACCATCACCTGCAAATTCCGCTCAAGAGCTCATCATGGTGCTTGAAGGGAAGACGGAGACTTCAAAAAAATGGAAGGCGCAGAAATGGTGTTTGCATGTGCACATTTGGAAAACTCTGTGTCTATATATTCGACGATATCATTGCCTGCCATGTCATTTCATACCATATCATGTCATGTCATTTCATATCATATCATTTCAGATCATATAATATCATCATGATCATCATGACATTATTCTATCAACTAATAGTATCCTATAATATCCTATAGTATCCTTCATACTACAACTCTATATATATATATACACCAGCGACTGTTGGGTGCAAACGATGCAACTTGATGTTTCTGATGCCAGAGTTCCACCCTTGAGACTGCCGGGGCACAGGAACCAGTGCATGATGATACACGTGAAGACCAAAATGTGGTGGCCTTGTGGAGCGTGGGTTCCACAGGTCGATTTCCCGGGTCGCTCCAAAGCAGTCGGTCCAAAGGGGTGCACATCAATATGCAAAAAGTACAACTTCCAAAGCCCCAAAGCCAACGACTGCACAGAATATTTCAGAACTACTGGTGTCCACTGTGTCCATGTCTGATCCAAACATATCCAAACATATCCAAATCCAAACCAACAAGAGCTGCCTGGATGATCTCAGAATTGCAAGCAGAGTGTCAATCAGCTCATAATATTTGCTGACCTTGGGTGCTTGGTCCATTCTGATCCCTCGCTATACTGCTTGCAACCACCCAAAGTACTACGACTGAAGCTGTCTGGGACGCAGGCATAGAATGCATACGACCAAAAATAAAGGGGGCCTTTGAACAGGAAAGCTTTCAAAAATCGGTCCTATCTGAATATCATACTACAAATCTCTACCTGATGATGTCTACTAGCACACAAAATGTAGTCATATGTAGGCGTTTGACCCCGCGCTGGCGTTGCCGGGTCTTCGCAGAACCTCAGTCTGCGCAGACTGTCCTTTGAAGCTAACACAATGGATCAAAGCAGCATTCTCAAGTAACAGTCCAAGGGTCCCAGGATCACTTAGGCCGACATTTTGAATCACTTAGGCCGACAATCTTGGATGTGGATTCACACCTTTAGGGATCTTTAGGGTTTATCTTTAGGGGGGGACTGGGGATAGTGGGGACAACTAGAGGTACAGGAGACGAACTAAGGCATATTAAGATCCATTGGGTACACACCTTTAGGGTTTATCTTTGGGGGTGGGGACCTGGGACTGGGGACCACTGCACACCTTCTATTGCACATATCATCATGTATCTGTGACGTAGGCGAGTGAAAACGTAGGCCTAAGCGGGGTACTGACCAAGCATAGCTAAGCACAGCGCATCCAATCAGCATTTTCATGTCGGACTCTCTCAAACATCTCCCAAGCACACCCCACGCACATCACCAAGGACATTGCACCTGAAGCATGGGAGTTGAAACCTGCTTTCAAAAATGTTTCAAACCTTTGGATAGTGAACAAAGATGAACAAAGTGGGCAAACGGGCAAACTGAAGTTGAACAAGATACCATTGCTGTGCTGAGATTCATCAAGTTCTGGGGCGTGTGCTCAGAATAAAGTTGTGCACCACCAACAGTCTCTCAAGCTTATATCCACCCATTGGAACCTAACAAAAGTGACTCAAACTCGATCATTCAACAGTGGCTATCGACATTTGCTTGGCTCTCTGTTTCCAAGTGGCATTCTCTTAAAAGAAAAAAAACAGCTTGTGGAAAAAGAATTTGAGAGATGCTTCGCCACAGTTGTCACTGAGTCTCTCGCATATCGGGGCAAAATAAATACCATCAGCAAATAGAGAACACCTGGTGTGACAACATTTGCAACACCATGCCCATGCAACAAACATCAACAACCCCATCCTGGGGAAGACGATCGAAGACGTGTCAAAATTCAATCGACAAGTCGGCAAGTCGGGCAGTGCCTGTCACGACCGGAGAGCTCCTTGAGGAGAGCGGTGCATTTTTCCAATCAAAGTCATAGTACATGTGCCACGATGACTACCTCTCGGGATCAGGGACTTTATGGCAATCAAAAGTACGGCATAGATATGGATACCAAATGGATCCAAATGGCAGAAAGATCAGAAAGATGCAATGCGGCAACTAAAGTATATACAGATATATAATGATATATACAGTATATATGATTGCCAACTATTGTTTGAAAGGAGGACCTCGCAACAAAGAATGAAAATCGGCCTCTTGGCTGCAACGATTGCAGTGAGCAATCATCAGGGAAAATCCGAGGTGAGCGGATTGGCTGAGGATGATGGAAAAATGAGATTGCCACACACTTCATGGACTTCATGGATCGCTGCGACTTGCAACCCTTGTCAGACTGGACCAACATATATGGACCATGCACAATTCACATTTTCCAATCAAAGGCAAACCGGCAAATCCATTCGACACGCGATGCTTCCGGCTGACCCGTTACCGCCGTTGCTGGTCTTTGCCAGCTTCACCGCTTCACCCAGAAAGGACCGTCGGCAAAGAAGCGACGAGATCCTGACCAGATTGACACTGGGATGAAATGCCAATGAAATGTTACTATAATTACTATAAATGATTATATAAACGGATTCAAAAGGATCTCTTGAATCTTCTATCCAACTCTGGTTCCCCTGTTGCATCCTGTCCTCCATTTTGGATATGCTCTGGTTGAAGCGCTCCCTGGACAAAGGATCGAGGCCCACAGCCAAGCTTGCTATGGCTGATTCTGGAGGAAGAGCCAGCATCTTGAGCATCTCCTTCGAAAGGCATCACTGGATCATTTCAAGAGAGAAGAAAAGCAAACAAGATCAAACAAGATCAAACAAGACTACCAAATGGATGATCTTAGTTTCACACAGCTTCACCTCGTTGGAGCTGTGCTCCTCCATTGACTCCGAGTTCTCCGGTGCAGGACTGCTTCTTCGAAGCTGGACAACTGCTGGCAGAGGAACCTGCACTGGGAGGATTTGACTTGCTCAAACGCTGTGCCTTCGAGTGCATTCGAGTGCATTCGAGTGCCTTCATGGGTTTATGTTTTCAGAGAAGCATCTCCGGTGATTGCACCTCCCACGCTGGCCCCGGTTTCTCAACTGCCCTTGGACAGGGACAGGGTACCAGAAGATCCAGAAGGAAAAGTAGTTTGATGTGGAGCCAAAGCAATTGAGCCATGCGCCCTTTTGCTTTACTGCTGTCCTTGACTGGGCCTAGGCAATGCATGAGTCCAGCGTGCAAAACTCAAAACATCCATCGCTGCATCTGAGCTAGCCGCGTGCTACCTAGGTTCAAGGCTTGCCACAAAACAGCATGTCAAAATGCGGATCAATATCTTCCTTTATCGGTCTCCATCATCTTCTCTGCGCTAAATCAACTTCGTCAGGTCATGTCAGTTCAGGTCTGGGTTGAGGCTCTGGCATCAGCGCCATCTGCTTGCTCAGCTGGAGGGTCCGGCAAATCGCGACCATCGCCATTGTCACATCTATCAGAAGATCTTCTACCAGGCTCTGCTGCAGGCTGTCCAGTCGGTTCATATGTTTCGCCTTCAGCCCTTCCGTTGGCACTTCCTCGTGAGACATCGTGCACTTCGCACGCTTCATGCACTTCGTGCATTGTCTTCGGCTCTGGAGCCTTCACAGTGTCGTCCTCCAAGCCTCTGTCATCTCCGTTTTGTATAGGGTCATCTTTAATATCTCTGTCGACTCGGTTGGGATTTTGTGGGCCAGCAGCGACAGCGCTTTCTGTCACAATTGGTGCATTGCCTCCTGGCTCCCTCCTTGCACCTGGTCACTGGTGAACACTACAAGGCATCCGCACATGGATTGTGCACTGCGCTGTACATCTGCACCCTGGGCGCACCTTCTTTTGCCAGGGAATGGGCGGGGCGAGATAGCTTTATGACGATAGTGGACCTTAGGCTTCTGCAGATCTTCGCGAAAGCTGGAAGTAGCCACTGCTTGTCACCATGTTTGTCACAACCTTGTCACAACATATGTCATTGCCATCCCTGATTCAATTGAGTTTCTCTTTGATGCCAATCTCCCGGAAGCGGTGGACATTAGCTTCTCCATTGACTGAAATCACCTGTCAGTTTTAGCACTGGACTCCGTGGACTTTGACTCTCTGGGTTTCGCTCAGAAAGTCCACACCTCATCCCCCTTCATGATGCGCTGCGACTCCGGTGCTGCCTTCTGCGCTTGACAACAGAGAACCCAAGCCTTTCTTTCTGTCAGACTGAAATTCAAGTCAGCTAAGCAAACTCCAGAATGACTCAGAATGACTCAGAATGACTCAGAATGACTCAGAATGACCAAGGAAGCTGAGATCAAGTCCTTATTGTGTTTGTCCGCCAAGCCACCAGGGACCACCTGGGCAGGTTTTCTTACTGTCGGATTCAAGCCGCTGTCGTCAGCAGTACCATCACAGGCCTCTGTGACAACACTTCTTGTTGGATCTCGTGCTGGCCTCTGGCAAAAAAAACAAGAAAACCACTGAACAATCGTGGCATCCAGAAGCATCCTGCGGAATGTTTTGGTGAATAAGAGCAGGGCGCTTGCATGCGGATACCAACATGGTCTGAATCTACCATTCGGCAAAACGTGACCTGCCAAGGTCAAATGTCAGAGACGGCCAGTGTTTCGAAAGCTTCAAGGCAAAGGAGCTCTCCTCAAAGCTTCTCTTGGCATCCGTTTGCACCTGGTCAAGGCGTCTGGTCTTCTGGTCTTCACAGGTTCTTGGTAGGTTCGTAGGATGTGTGCCTTATGATTGAGGGACTTGAACTTCTTTAACTTCTTGAACCGGTCCAACCGGTCCAACCGGTCCAACCGGTCCAACCGGTCCAAGCCGTTCCAGGCCTCCGGGAGGGGAGCAGGGCCCTTGTGCCAGCGGAGCAGAGTAAGCCTTGAGCACCAAAGAATCCAAAGATCAGCGATGATCAAATTGTACAAAGATCATCAAATTACCACAAGATGCTGCAAGATTTTACAAGCACATTGCGAGGTATAGTCTTGAAATGTCTTGAAAATATCAAGCGAGATTATCTGTGTTATATAAATCCGCCCGCGCCGAAGGTGCTGAGGCGTGGTAGTTTAGCAGTGGATGCGACCGGACAGATCTGTCAGACTGGTACAGCTTCAGCCCGGGGCAGACCGTTTTGCATATCGGCACAACATCGTCTGAATGCACCCTTGTCATCCGACACGGCCGCAAAATCGGCTCCACTCGGGGTCAACTTCGGCCAACAACGCTCCAACTTCGGCCCAACTTGGACCCCCTTGGCTCCAACTTCGGCCCATCTTGGCTCCAAGATGGCGCAACTTGGCCCCAAGTTGGACCCATTTGGGAGCAATTTTAGCCCAAGTTGAAGTCCACATGGCTTCAAAATGGGGGACATAACCGGCCCAATCCGAAATCCTCAAAACGCGCGTTTTCACTGGTATATTTCACCCACGTTTTTTTGGGTTTGACCACAGTCGGCTTTTAGTTGGGCCAAGTAGGCCCGCTTCTTTCCTCAGCGACTCGAATATATGTTGCTTCCTTGAAATCCTGAGTTCAACGCCGCACTCGGTGTACATCTTGGAGGCGTTTCAGAATGCGCAGGGGCTCCACCTAGTAATGATGGAATATGATGGAATGTTATATGACAGATTCTCAAAAGTGTGCGTACGGAAGACCTGCGAGGCACCAACCTCCGGTTCACACGCAAGCAAAAGGTCACCTGGTTGCACACGCCACCTTGCAAAGTGGAGACGAACTAGATTCAAGACTCAGTTGATATGCGATTTGGGTTCCAATTCGACTGAGACCACTGGCAGGGTCTCCTGATTTTCGTTCCATCTTTGAATTGCTCCCGGACCCTTGGAGGTCGAAACCACTCAAAAAATGATGCCTTGAACTTGGTTGGAGGGACGGAGGGACTGCGTTCAATGTGGATCATCTCTTCTAAGCAGGAGACAACCGCTCGAACGTTCAGCACTGATGGGCTACTGTGCCTGATCACGCTTAAAGACTTAAAGAACATTGGCTTTGCATAGAGCACTTTGAGCAATTACCGCCGTGATTCTCCACAAAATCACACCCTGTCCGCACACTCTGACAGCAAGAAAAGTCACCCAGAAAGTTTCTGAGCCACAGACCCTGGTGTCGAAAATAACTCCAGCCCCCAACCTGCTTCAAATGTGTCGCACTTATCTCCGTTTCTCCAAAGCAATCAACCCTGTCTTTGTCGAGCCGTCTTGCTGACAAAGCCAGCACAAAGCAAACGGAACCAGTGGCAGTCAGAGGCGATCAGACAACATCGATGAATCACTTTGCTGAGGGCACCTTCATTTGCGCTCTTAGCAACTTCAATCTCCCAAACCTGAGAGAAGCTTTATTGCGCTGCTAGACCTATCAGCATCTTCGCATAATTATCAATCAGCGCCCTGCATTGGAGTGATTTGGACTTGTGGCCAGCCAGAACATATTAAGGTGCTTGTATAGCATGGAGTGCACACTTGCTACTCTGCAGAAATCGCTTGCCAGGATACTCCAGGAGCTGCTTTTGAAGCTGGTCTCTCAAGATGCAATACCTTGTCACACTTTCAATACCAAAGTTCAAACATGTTCAAAACAAATACGCACAGTAGGTACAGCAGGAACAGCAGGAACATCGTTGAAGAATTGGCACCCCCACCACTTCCGCAGTGACTGTAGAGAGGTGTTGCACCTGATTTACAATTCATTTCAACCTCCTCTCATGGCATACCAACTGTCTTCAGTGCGAGTAGGTCGTCTTCCTTGATCATCCTCATTCTTGGCACCGCACAATAAGCCGTGGAACCTTCTTGTCATCTGCCCCCACAAGCCAGTCGTTCTGCTCAACACGAGGTTCAGAAGGACTGCCAGCCAAGCACTGGAATACAAGCTGAGTACCGAAGAATAGATTGGGTTCGCTTCAAAGGCATCCAACATATCAAACCAGCCTTATTAGATTGCTGTTGTACAGGGCTATTGCACCA